TCTCCCTCCCAGGCGAATGAATCCAGATAACGGGATGAATACGGATTTAAACCCAGGGGACAGCAGGTACTCAACTCTCAGAAGGAGCCTCTGGGTGCTTCTGTACGGCCCTGGCCGTGGGCAACCAGACACTCACCATGTTCCCACCTCTGGTGTCCTTGCCCTGTCGGGGAGGGAGCTGGACACTTCATGACCTACATAAGACTACACATACTGACGGTGGGGACTTTTCCTCCTCCAGTCCTAACTCATTTCCATGACTGCCTATTGTCCAGAAAAATCTGTCAACAGAGAACATCTAACAGATGCAATCTTAAAATACATTCCGACCTCAAAAAGGACATTCCCTGTCCTCGATCCAAATGATTTCTATGGTGTCCATCTGTCGTCATGCTAGGTGCCTAAGTGTCCAGGGTAGGACCTCATGTAATTTCTTGGCTTCCTGGTTAACAGGAAGGGGTTAATTAACAGCTGGGGTTAATCCCCATCCAGTCCATTGATAAATGTCAAAAAATTACAACTGCCTTTGTAATAATGAAATGAACTCAGAAATATTCAAAAAGGCTTTGGATGCCCACTAAGATGTCTTTTTGACACCCTCCTCCATCAGGGAAACCAGTAACATGGTGTAACATAAGAACTGAATTAACCATCATTTCACTGTCAACAAGTTCTACGTAAATAGTCCACTGCTAAGAGAACGTGCATTATATATTTTGCTAGCTTCCAACAAAAACACACACAAGATGGCTGCCTCTCCCCCACAATGCTGCACAGATAGGTCTAAATTAGACTCCATAACCCAACATGCTGATTTCTGCCTGGTGGCTTGAACTCTGCCATGAGAATCTTAAGGCTTCTCCATTTGGCTCAAATGCAGATAACGCTAGAAAGGGAAATGAGCTCTGCCTCTATCCCCTAAGGTGAGCGAGGGTGATCTTTTTAAAAAACTGGAATAGAATTCCTTTATGGAGGTTTGACTGCAGGTAAGAAACACCAGGACCTCCTGTTTGGGGTCAGAGTTGAGGTTTCTGGGGTTTAGATTTGGGGGCTGGCAAGCTACACGGGACAGGACTCCAGGGGTTTCCCTGGTTTTGGTCACATCTGGGGCTGACGCTGCCCTCCCAGATTCTCCAGTGCAATCCTTTCACACTGATTCTCCAGGGTAGACATAATGAACCTCTGGTGATCTCTACTCTAAGATCCAATTTGAGCTTATTGGGTTTGTTTTTACAATGGGGGCGCACGTGTGACCTTGCCCCCAGAGTAAACGCCAGAGGCCTCAGTACTGCTCGGCTGAGAGAATCTGGGCGGTGGGAGGCTGTCTCCTCCTCCTCTTGAGTGATTGCCCTTTGGGAAAATGCTCAGGTCTTGACTGCTCTTTCCTGTCGTGCTCAGAGGTGCAAACAGTTTTCAAATTCAAGTTAATACACGGTAATTGTGTAACAGACTTTGAGATAACTTGGAAATTCAGGTATTTCCTGGACCAGGAAATGCTTTCTTTAAGGGAAACAGAAGTAGCCCTTTTGGGTCAGTCATGCGCAGAGCACCCCCTCTACATGAGCAGATACATCATGCTGGGCAGAGGGGGTGTGTGGGGGGCCAATGCCAATGAGAAAGAAGACAGAAAGGCTGCTGAGACACAAGAGCACCTCTCACACCCTCCTGCTGCTGCACAGACGTCGCTTCCCCAGTACCTCAGACTCTACGGGCACAACGACGTTGGCCAATCAAAAAGTACATTTCCTGACATGGGTGCATGAAATGGCAAACACGGAAATACAAATATCAGAGAAATAGGAAGCTGCCAATGAGTGGCTGTGAGTCTAACTGTCCTCTGCACCAAACTCTCTGCAACCCCAATATTGTCCGTCTAATTGTTGATAAGGGCGTTGGGCATGGGTTCCTTCAGTACTAAAAACTGCTGACATTTTCTTGTGTATTTCATTAGATTAAATAATCACTCTTTGGGTATGGCCCTAATCTTGCACTGAAGTCTTCTGAGCATGTTTCTGGTGTTTTCAAAAATGCATTACTGAGAGCAAGCACTACCCAGTGAATGAACAGTGCCACTGGAGACTTACTTATAATCTTTTTTTGTTTTTTTCTAGAATGTAGGAACCAGGAGGACAGCCCCATCTGTCTCACTCATTCTTTTACTGCTTGGTGGCTCCAACAAGGTTCTTCCATGGTATAGGCTCGGGGTGATGCCTGCTAAATGCCTAAGTAGATAAATGGATGGATGGATGAACACCCCTCAGCTAGCTCTCCATGACCACCAACAGCAGCGAGGACTGGCATGTGAAGCTGCCCTCCAGGGAACCTGACCGATAGGGCGACACTGGTTTTTACACACCAAGGTGAAGAAGAATGAAGTAAAAGGGGAGAGCTGGCCCTTAGGAAGCCGGGAACCTATGTGAACAAGTTGCTAAGAATGGGATGCCAATTGTTGTTTTGATTCTCTAGACCAAGGACTGCTTAGGAAACTTTTTCTGCAAGGACCAGCCAGATAGCAGATATTTTCAGCTTTGCAGGCCATAGGGATTCTGTTGTGATTACTCAACTTTTCTGTTGTACAGCAAAAGGCAGCCACACACAATGTGTAACTCAAAGGGCACAGCCATGTTCCAAGACAGCCTCACACACGGATGCTGAGATCTGAGTCTCATATAGTTCATTCTTCTTGTGAATCTTACCTCCCTCACCCCGACTGTTCAAAATGCAAAAACCTGTCTCAGCTCATCAGATTTGGCCCAGGGGCTGCAGTTCTCTGTCATCCTTCTAGTAATCCTCGCAAGCTTGGAAGAAATGGAACTCTTCAGAACCAGCCCTGCCATCTTCCATTAAAGCAAAGTTGTTCAAAAAATATCATAAGGAATATCACAGGTAACCACCACACAGTAACTTCCAGAAAGATAAGCATCTCTGATTCTTATTAAAAGTTGAAAAACCTGCTTTGGGTTTGAGGTGGGACTGGAGGATGAAGGGACAACTATGAATAAACGAAATCCGCAAAGAATCTAAGAATCATCATATAGGTCTGTACCATTCCCAGGCCATGTTCACCAAAACAAAACATTAATGCTGCTGGGAGATAACTATCTGACTTACTGATCATCTAACTCCTTTCCTTCTCCGAACTGCTTCTTTTGGATAATGAGGAATAATGAATAAAAGGTTAGTTAATCATGGCCTTGCACTCAAAATCTGCAGTCTGGAATGCCAACTTAGGTGAACCATGACAGCTCTCTTCAACAATTTATTCCGGCTGATCATTAAGAATTTCATCAATTAAACACATACATGCAAGAATCTGGATCACTTTATAAAAACTGAAACATGTAAGGTCAGAAAGCAATAGCCATAGAGCTGGTCCTATTCAGTCCAGTCTTTCAGGGGCTTCCCATGCTTCAATCACAAGTGAACTCTGGGAGTGAGATAAATAAACTCCTCCTTTTCTTCTCAGTAAGCGTGTTGAATTTAAATACGTTTCCCAAGACTCATGTAAGAATTTGGGGGGGGGGGGGCACAGTTTACAATGTGCCCTTTGCTTGGATAAATACCCCACTGTCCTAGTAAGTTCATATCTATAGTCTGAATGCAAAAGTACTTAAAATAACTTTTGACACATTCTGACTAAAAAAAAAAATAAATAAGTGATCCATCATAACTAATTAAAAAAAAAAAATCCTTTCTATCCTGGAAAGTCACAACAAAAAGTTTAAGTGTGTTTTGGCTGATTTTTCTCTGCAACTATTTGAAGCTATAAATGACTTAACTCAGTAAAATTCCAGATGTAATTATCTACTGTACTTAGCCCAGGGCTCTTCATATATCTCGGCATTGCTGTCTTGCATACAAAATAGGCTTTTCAATGGCTGGTAACAATATAATGTACAACATTGTTTTAATTTCCCCGAGTCGGCTAACCTCTTGCCTACACTAAACCAGCCAGAGGAAGAAGCCACAGTGAATCATCAAGCACTCAAAAGCATTTTGGAACTCGGCTGCATAAATGGGGTTTGTAGGGTCAGCCTTGTGCAATTGTACATTTTAATAATATCCATTTCTGACCCAATTTTTACTTTTAGAAACTAATTTTCTATTAATTATACCAAGGAGGGAATGATTGCTAAAACATGGTGGTTCATCAACAAGTTACATCAGGAAGTGGAACTCACATTTCAAATACACACCGACCAAATGTGATCCACGGGAAAAATCTGCACAAGTTAATTTTCTCTAGTCATAAAATATGCTCTACATGGTCCAGTGGATTTCCAAACACAAGATTCTCTCCCTCTCTCTATGTATATGATATGCACATGATATATATTGTATGTACCTGAATATGCGTTTGTATGTACATGTGGGTGTGTGTACATATTTAAAATGTATAGTGAACTCTCAGTTGTTCTCAGTGATGGAGAGAGAAGGGGAACAATGAAAAATGATGCATAAATCCACATATACTTTCTATTTTAACTTTGGAAAAAAGGCTTGCATGTGTCCTGGCTTGCCCCATGTTGCCCACACTCATGTTCTCTCTCACTCGCTCTCCATTCATTCACTCCCCATATCTCTCCCCAGCTTGTCTTCCTAACTTCGGGTTAATAATATTAGCAACAGTGGGGGCTCAGACCAACAACAGATAACCAGTAAACTTAAAAAGGAAAAGAGAGAAGGGAGGTCAAGTGAGAGAGAGACGGAAAAGCTAAAAGGCAGTGAGTGGCTGAGGCTTGGCGGCATACACAGAGATGCACAGAACTGTGAGATGTCTGAGCAGCAGTGTCCAAGAATGAACTGAAGCTGAACCTTCCCAAAGAGGAAAAGAAATAAAATACAGTAACATAAAAGAAGATCAAAGGAAAGAAAGGACAACATCAGATTTTTGAACCTTCCATTCAATAATGAGTACACAGGAACTCATTACAGAACACTACAGAAATTTGGAAGTGGAGGAATACTGAGGTAATATCAAAAATAAATGTGGTTTTTAC